GATATTGTGGAATAACAATACATGCAGGCACGCACACACGTGGAGGTATTAAGACAGGTGACATATGATCAGTAGCTTGCGTCTGATAAGACAGCTCTTGCACTATCTTCACATTGCATTGATTTTATTTGCACGAGAAAACCCGCCGATTATTCTATCTGGATGGCCCTGTACCAAATGCAATATATTTATATTTGTTATTATTATTAAAAAAAACAATTATCAGAATAATACGACCTTAAAATTATGAATATTTTGTGTCCGGTCTGTGATATAGATGTCTACATTTCAAATATGTGCCACAAATGACAATACGTGACGGTATTTTACGAGTCTGGTAGTGTAGAACGTTCACATTAATGTAGAATACATCATTGGTTCACATTAATTATCCTCTTTATCGGTTTTCGTCTGTGGTACTGTAAGAGTACATACAAACAATCAAATGCTTCAAACACAAACATCTTGTTTTACATGTGAACTGATTTGACAAATCTCTGTCTCAGTTTTTATTATTTTAATAAATTATGTACATGTAATTACCTTGTAAAATTGAAGCTTTTTAATGAGGCTATAACTCATATCTGGTTACTTATCAATTTCGTCAGGTGAACAACATCGACAGCTTTATACTGAAATATTTCAGAACTACTTTTCACCTTGCATTAAGAAACAAACAACTTTCTGCTGAATTTTGTTTGTGGCTGCTATTCACCCTTCAAGTGCATGTTATTTAAATACATTTTGGACGTTGAAGAAAATAACCCCGATTTAATGATCTGGTATTTTGTTTACGATAATCTAACAAGGCTTCCGATTCTCTTATTGAGGTAGATTTTCCCGCCACGCGTCATACTTGGTAATTAATTTATTCGCATCATCATCTGACAGTTATAGTACCTGCATGAACAACATACTGTCATATTTATGTCCTAAACACTGACACTCTGTGTAAGGCCTGTTAAACTATACACTGACTCTCAGTGTAAGGCCTGTTAAACTAAACACTGACACTCTGTGTAAGGCCTGTTAAACTATACACTGACTCTCAGTGTAAGGCCTGTTTAACTAAACATTGACAGACAGTGTAATGTCTGTTAAACTAAACACTGACAGTCAGTGTAAGGCCTGTTAAACTTAACACTGACAGACAGTGTAAGGCCTATTAAACTAAACACTGACAGGCAGTGTAATGTCTGTTAGACTAAACACTGACAGGCAGTGTAATGTCTGTTAGACTAAACACTGACAGGCAGTGTAATGTCTGTTAGACTAAACACTGACAGTCAGTGTAAGGCCGGTTAAGCTTAACACTGACAGAAAGTGTAAGGCCTGTTAAGCTATACACTGACTCTCAGTGTAATGCCTGTTAAACTAAACACTTACACTCTGTGTAAGGTCCGTTAAACTAAACATTGAAAGACCGTGTTATGTCTGTTAACCTAAACACTGACAGACGGTGTAAGGTCTGTTAAAATAAACACTGACACTCAGTGTAAGGTCTGTTAAACTTAACACTGATACTCAGTGTAAGGTCTGTTAAACTAAACACTGACACTTAGTGTAAGGTCTGTTAAACTAAACACTGACAGACAGTGTAAGGGTTGTTAAACTAAACACTGACACTTAGTGTAAGGACTGTTAACCTATACACTGACTCTCAGTGTAAGGCCTGTTAAACTTAACACTGACAGACAGTGTAAGGCCTGTTAAACTAAACACTGACACTCTGTGTAAGGTCTGTTAAACTAAACACTGACAAACAGTGTAAGGGTTGTTAAACTAAACATTGACACTTAGTGTAAGGACTGTTAAACTAAACATTGACACTCAGTGTAAGGTCTGTTAAACTAAACATTGACACTCAGTGTAAGGTCTGTTAAACTAAACACTGACACTCAGTGTAATGTCTGTTAAACTAAACACTGACACTTAGTGTAAGGACTGTTAAACTTAACACTGACACTCAGTGTAAGGTCTGTTAAACTTAACACTGACAGACAGTGTAATGGTTGTTAAACTAAACACTGACACTCAGTGTAAGGTCTGTTAAACTTAACACTGACAGACAGTGTAAGGCCTGTTAAACTAAACACTGACAGACAGTGTAAGGGTTGTTAAACTAAACACTGACACTTAGTGTAAGGCCTGTTAAACTAAACACTGACACTCTGTGTAAGGTCTGTTAAACTAAACATTGACAGACAGTGTAAGGTCTGTTAAACTAAACACTGGCAGACAGTGTAAGGGTTGTTAAACTAAACATTGACACTTAGTGTAAGGTCTGTTAAACTAAACACTGACACTCAGTGTAAGGTCTGGGTCTGTTAAACTAGACACTGCCAGTTCGTGTAAGGTCTGTGTCTGTTTAACTAAACACTGACACTCAGTGTAAGGTCTGTTAAACTAAACACTGACACTCAGTGTAAGGTCTGGGTCTGTTTAACTAAATACTGTATTTAGGCAGAGTACTGATGATTTGTAGTTTTGACATCTTGTTACAATAAAACACGATGCCACCAGGGACTAGGGCGCTGTTTGTGTTGTTGTTTAGTATACAATTTGACATCATAGGTATCCTAAGGAAGCCGGTACGGGCCACCAAGAAAACAAATGTTATGTCGTTATTACGATGTACTTACATGTAGCTCTCTCGTCATAACGACGTATACATGTCTTAATTAGAGCAGCTGTACATGTATAGTATAACGTACTAACAGCTAAAAGACAACAACATATTTTATAGTGGATTATTTACGGTGGCCGCTGACTTGTGCGATTTGGTGGTTTTAATCGTCTTTTCGTCCCGAAAAAACGATATTTAGTAACTTCTAATGATCGTTGTTTCGTCTTTGGGGAAAAAACCCATGAGAAACAATGACTATACATAAACTTGCTGAATCTAAAGCAACGTAAACATCAAAAGCAAACAAAAATAGATCAAGTTACTTGACAGTATCATTTTAATTTACGTTTTTCATTTGCTGCTCGACTGTACGTGAAATAGGCAGTGATAGGCTATATATATATATAGGTACGTGCACGCACGGCTCTGGGTGGATGTGATTACTTCCGGTCACGCATGCGTTTTTGTGCAGAACCCGGGAGAATCGAAAGCAGAAGATTTAACACTGACAGCCACGATCACGTAATGTATTTTTTTATAATACAAGAAATAAAAGAGCATGATTATCGGAATGTAAGTTAGTCATTTAAACAAGGGCTAGAAACACAACGGGCGAGTTGCCCTCTTTCGGTTTCCTTAACTTTTTTTAGGCGAATCGATTAAATCAGTCACATATTTTTAACTCAGTTTCTCCACCAAAATAAAAAAAAAAAGAAGATTTATGAGGTTGCTTCAAGTGTAACTCACTGTAAGTCTGTATCGATCAACATCTACTGCTGTTCTAGTTTCTAGTAGTAGGCTAGTAGCCTTGCTCAAGTGCGACATTTTCAGCCATCATCATCAGATGGTGGTTACGTAATCTTCAAATCACCCTTTGTCCGACTGATCCGTCCGTCGTTCCGTCCGTCTTTAAACAAGTGTTAGTGCTATTTCTCAGAAAGAAGTACAGGAATCTTCCTCAAATTTCACATGCAGGTTGCCCATGGTCCTTAGTTACACATATACAATTTCGGAACTGATCGGAAAATAAAGATGGCCGACTGGTGGCCATCTTGAATTTTGAGAGTTAACGTTTTTCGCGCTATATCTCAGAAAAAAACTGGAGGGATCTTTCTCAAATTTGGTATGAAGGTTCCTAATAGCCCGTTAATTCTTATGCATATTGCATTTTATGACTGATCGAAAAAACAACTGGTCGGATGTACAAGATTCTCGTTTAGAATTTCCAAAAGGGAACTGGGTAGTATGTAGTACGTGTAAGGAAAATGAAAAGCAAAGAAGGTAAAAGATGATTGTTTGTATAATAAATTTTATTATTTTACAACAATTATGAAACAAGTTATTACAACTTATATCAATCACTCTTGTTGGCCATGACGTTAGGGTGCTAAGAGTCTTTATGTGGGAAGAAACCAGAGTTTCAAGAGAAACCCACGTGATCGGGCAGGTGACCCATACCTTCTCGCGTCCAATCCGGGCTGCCTTGGTGAAAGGCGAGTGCGATATCCACTGTGCCACCCGACCTCCCATCGTTTGTAGATCTGACAAAGATGCTATCATGGTGGGCGTCGAGATCCTTGTAGGATATCTTGTTACTTTTAAGAGGGCTAGCTAAGTAAGTGTTCAATTGCTTAAGCTGTTGTCACCTCGTAACCATTAGGTCTGTATACATAGTTACCTTATGCATGTACAGATGTTAAGTTCATATTTGGCCCATAAAGTACATCAAAAGCATGTTTTGTCCTTAGGATGACATGTCGTGACGTAATGATCGTAGAACAGGAAAGTTTGGATAGGAATATAGAGTGAACAGTGATAAACCAATGTTAAATGTGGCCATTTAATTATAAACACACTGTGCTGATGTGTCAATAATTTTACCCAATTGACACCAGGCCTTGGTGGATTTTTCTAAATTAACGACGAAAAAAGAGCAGCTTTTTTTTCTTTCCTGTCTCCTTTTCGGTGATGTCTCTCATATGAAAAGCATCCGTCTTCACATGAGGGGATGTGACATCATTAACTCATTCACCCTGAAGACACTTTTGAACTCCTCCAGATCAAAGGTTGGAATAGTTCATTAAGAAATTTCAGGGGTAAATGAGTTAATAAAAAAATGATGTGGTGTTGATTTGTACTTGTTTGTTTTCAATAGTCTTACCGTTATCATGCCTTAACCCTTTCACCCCTATGTAACTTCAGTAGACTCTACCATGCATTGATCTGGATGAGTCCATTATGGTTTACAGTGGTGACAGGGTTAAGAAGTACTCATTCCAGTTACAACCTGTAATGCCATTTTCCGCTTTTGTTTTTGTGTTGTTTTACATCATGCTAAACTTAAGCTATACAGGGCCTGTTTCTTTGGTTACAGCATGTGAGCTGCCCTGTGAAGAGTTTCAGTGTGCCAATTGTCGCTGTATCCCGCATTCCTGGACATGTGACCATAACAATGACTGTGGGGACCACTCGGACGAGTTCTCTAATTGTAGTAAGTAGGTCAAGGTCATCGTAATTATGTTACAACTCGGACGAGTTCTCTAATTGTAGTAAGTAGGTCAAGGTCATCGTAATTATGTTACAAGTAGGACGAGTTCTCTAATTGTAGTAAGTAGGTCAAGGTCATCGTAATTATGTTACAAGTAGGACGAGTTCTCTAATTGTAGTTAGTAGGTCAAAGTCATCGTAATTATGTTACAAGTATAGGGCGAGGTCATACATTTAATTCACATGAATATATTTTATTCAGGAACTGCAATTTTCATATTTCAATGTTATATTAAGTATAGTAAGTAGGTCAAGGTCATTTGTTTTTTTTATATTATTATGTATGTAAAAACTATCTTTAGAGATTAGAGAGTACTAACTCAGAATTCACTGTATGCAAATTTTATATGTATCAAAGGTCAAGTTTTAGGGTCATGGAACTGATTCAAAGTCATCAAAATAAAATGTGATCACTTAAGCTTGTGTTGTCAGTTCACTAGTCTTTTCCGATACCATCAAAGGCCACTGGCATATCTTAAAATCCTGTTACCTACAACTGCCAAATTGTGTATATGCATGGGAACCTCATGTTTTGGCATTAACTAAATGTTGGCCTTCTGTTCCATTTCATACTGAGTTACTATAAGCTAACTGTAGACAACTTCTGGATCCATATATGTCCACATTTTATGTTGAGGTACCTCTAGTATGGCAGTGTTTCACCTACTTAAATCAGATCTCTTACCCTTCATACTCTTGGGTCTGGCCCCTCTCTTGAAGACTTAGTCCTTGGATCATAACTTTGAAACTGCGGAGATTCCAAATCAATATATACATTAGTTGGCATTAAGAGATGAACGCAATCATGCTACCACAACTGGCCTGGGGGCCAGGCTCTATCCCCGGGACCAGGCTCTATCCCCGGGACCAGGCTCTATCCCCGGAACCAGGCTCTATCCCCGGAACCAGGCTCTATCCCCGGAACCAGGCTCTATCCCCAGGACCAGGCTCTATCCCCAGAACCAGGCTCTATCCACAGGACCAGGCTCTATCCCCGGGGAGCAGGCTCTATCCCCGGGACCAGGCTCTATCCCCGGGACCAGGCTCTATCCCCGGAACCAGGCTCTATCCCCGGAACCAGGCTCTATCCCCGGGACCAGGCTCTATCCCCGGAACCAGGCTCTATCCCCGGAACCAGGCTCTATCCCCGGAACCAGGCTCTATCCCCGGGACCAGGCTCTATCCCCGGGACCAGGCTTTATCCCCGGGATCGTATTTGCCATACCACTTTTATGAGAATATTTTGCCATGATTTCTTAAATGTTCAGGAGATCAGCAACACAGGCCTGTTAGGCCTTTTGCATTATTTTGTCCCCATTTAGATAAAAAATCCAGAAGAAAAGGCCTGTTCACTGTGTTACACCAGTAATCTCAAGTTTATGTCATAACAGAAACACATGTCACTAGTGTATCACTCAGGAAATATAATGTCTCATTAATATGCAAAGGTAATCAGTACTGATGAATATTAATGAGTTTTCTACAATCACAGGTGACCTTTGACCTTTCTGTGACAATATTATTCTGCACTTCCCTGCCAGTGGACAAAGTTATATTGCTTAAAGACTAGTCTGGTGCAGACAACAAAATCTTGTAATATGTAATAAATTTTCTCCTTTTGTCAATTTGACATTCCAATCATTTCTGAATTCGCAGATGTCATGATATATAAGGAATCTGTTTTACATTTTGGCAAGTTAAGTATAGTAAGATATTTTGTAAATTATCTTATTCCTTAAGCTGACAAATACTTCAAGGGTTATCTATATATATACAGTAGAGTAGTGCTAATTGAAGCACACATTTGGCATGGTTCCAGGGTTAGGAAAATTCCATTTTTAATAAATTTATTTACACATTTTTCAAATTAGTGTTATTTAGTCCTGTTCTGGTTCCTTCAGTTTTTTTTTTGAAAGATCATATTTGCCTATAGTTTCTTATTTGTCAGTGAATGTTTGTCCCACACAATCAATCTCCTTTAGTCCTTTATAAACACTAAAGATGCATATTTCAAAATAAGTTTGATTCTGATCCTAAAACCGCTAATTCTTGGATTAAGTCTTTAATCCAGAGGAGTGGGGTCTGCCTAGTAGAAATTTTGATTGTAAATTTCCCAGATCATTTTATCCCGAGGAGCGGGGTCTGCCTAATACAAATTTTGATTGTAAATTTCCCAGATCATTTTATCCAGAGGAGTGGGGTCTGCCTAGTAGAACTTTTGATTGCAAAATTTCCCAGACCATTTTATCCAGAGGAGTGGGGTCTGCCTAATAAAACTTTTGATTGTAAATTTCCCAGATCATTTTTTCCAGAGGAGTGGGGTCTGCCTAATAGAAATTTTAATTGTAAATTTCCCAGATCATTTTATCCAGAGGAGTGGGGTCTGCCTAATAGAAATTTTGATTCAGTTTGTGCTCCTATTCCAAGTTTTATATCCCCCGCAAGGAAGTTGGAGGGAGGAGTACATTGGAATCATCCCGTTTGACCATCTGGTCATCTGACCGCTTGACCGTCTGTCTGGAATATTGTGTCAAGCGTATCCTAAACTGAAGCGACTCAAACTTAGCATACTATACTTCCTTGTGATATGATGTTGTGACCTTTCGCTCATTGTTAAATTTGGACAAAATTTCTTGGAGTTATGCCCCTTCTGTATAACTTCTCATCCCAAATATTGTGTCACGTGTATCTTATCAAGTACTGACGGGATTTCTCTCAAACTAGGCATAATGCTTTTCTATTATGTAATGTTGTACCCTTTTGCAAGTCGTGAAATTTGGACAAAAATTCTTAAAGTTATGCCCTTTAGCATATGTTTTTTTTCATGAAAGTTATAATTGTCAAGGGGCGTATCATTAATACTGTTTCACCTGTTATAATCAGACTTGGTATGCAAGTACATCTTGGGTTGGTGGAGTAGCAAGTCAAAAAAGTAGGTCACTGTGACCTATGCTTTGACCTTTGACCTTAACTTTTGAAAAAGTTTTCCAGGGCATATTTCTATGCTTATTTCACCTGGTACAACCAGATTTGGTATGCAAGTAGATTTTGGGAGTAATCAGGTTACCTGTGATAACAAATTCTATATTTACCTGTTTACAGTGTTCAAGGTGTGCACAAGTAACAGGTTACCTGTACTAACGAGTTCTATATTTGCTTGTTAACAGCGTACAAGGTGTGCTCCAGTAATAGTTTACCTGTACTAACGAGTTCTATATTTACCTGTTTACAGTATACAAGGCATGCTCCAGTAATCAGTTTACCTGTGATAACGAGTTCTATATTTACCTGTTTACAGCGTACAAGGTGTGCTCCAGTAATCAGTTTACCTGTGATAACGAGTTCTATATTTACCTGTTAACAGTGTACAAGGCGTGCTCCAGTCATCAGTTTACCTGTGCTAACGAGTTCTATATTTACCTGTTGATAGCATATACGGCGTGCTGTAGTTACCAGTTTACCTATGCTAACGAGTTCTATACTACCTGTTTACAGTGTACAAGGCGTGCTCCAGTCATCAGTTTACCTGTGCTAACGAGTTCTATATTTACCCGTTGATAGCATATACGGCGTGCTGTAGTTACCAGTTTACCTATGCTAACGAGTTCTATACTACCTGTTTACAGCATACAACGCGTGCTCCAGTAATCAGTTTACCTGTGCTAACGAGTTCTATATTTACCTGTTTACAGCGTACAAGGTGTGCTCCAGTAATCAGGTTACCTGTGATAACGAGTTCTATATTTACCTGTTTACAGCATACAAGGCGTGCTCCAGCAATCAGTTTACCTGTGATAATAAGAAGTGTGTCGACCAGGAGTGGGTATGTGACAGAAACAATGACTGTGGTGACAACTCAGACGAGAATGGATGTGGTCAGTATAATGAAGTGTCGTTATAGAGAGGGTCACATTTAAGGCTTTAATTTACCCTAAAACCTTGTTATTTTATTGTTACAATTATTGAACATTTTGGATAAGCATTACATCGTTATATAGAATATTTTAATTCAAGCATCAGAAAAGTTTCATGGATGTTGTAATGACATCTATTTGGCACTGTGAAATTTGGCGTGTTTCATAACTGGGTTTACCAATGTGTGAGACTTTTCGGCGTTGCAGCGTAACTTCGTTCCAGATGCTAATATAAGATTTACCTTTGTATCCAATAAATCCTGGCTTTCCTTTCTCTGGTTACTAAAACATCTGGGTTGTTCATCTATTCAATTCAATACCCTAAAATTGTAGAAACCCCCCCACAATTTTGAAGATATAAATTAGAGTTTTAATCTGTAATCACTTAATTACCAAGTTATGTTATCATTCAAGCTAATTATTGACCAAATTCACTGTTTCTTTCATAAATGATATTTGACATGTTTCCCACCCTCGATACTCCAGGAGATAGCCTTAGTGAGCATAAATCCTGTAGCATCAAGGATGTCATGTTTCCTGGAATGAAACTCTTTTACAAAGGAGGTATATTAAGTGTCAGAATGGTGGCATAGGTAAGGTTATCTAGGACATTGTAGAATAGTCTGTTTTGATAGAGTGTGTGATCCTATCATGTGAAAGAATTACTTAGTTTCATTATTTAGTTTCAAATACTTTGAGAAACTGAAATTCTATTATTTGCGATTTATTTGTGAATTATTTCTTAGCCTCTACCAGCATCTATATGGTTTTAACATTGATCAAATATCCCATTGTCCGTCATACTTTTTCGTCATCACTCTACCATCTTAACTTTTCATTTTATTGCGATAAAAACCCCTTTGTACAAAATTACATAGGAACATAATACCTTGAACAAGTTTGCATTCATGTTTCAGATACATTTACCTTGTATGCTAATTTCTATCCCCCTCCCACAAAATAATGATAGGGGATTTAGCAATCACACTAGTGCTGATGCTAACTTTAGAATAAAAAATCATACAGAGCTCAAATTTGGTATGGGGGTTGCCCAAGGAAACAGGATGACCTGTATTCCAATATAATTTTGAAAAGCTCAGCAATGGCGACTTCTGTCTACCGGGGCAGCATACAGGAGTTCACACACTGTCAGACTTATATAGACGTACAACATGTAATACAGGTCTCCTCATATTCATTGGTTTGTTGTTAAATGTACGATTTGTACTTTTCTAGAATCCTACACGTGTAATACTAAAGAATGGGCATGTCCCTCATCAGGACTCTGTCTCCCTGTCTCCAAAGTCTGTGATAAAACGGAGGACTGTCCAGACGGCGATGATGAAGCCAAAACCTGTAGTAAGTATAGAGGTCAGGGTCACGGGGCTCAGGAGGGTCAGAGGTGAATGTCAGTCAAAGGATAAAGGTCAGGGGTCAAGGAGGTCATACTCAACAGGTCAGGAGGTTTGTAGCAGATGTTAAGAGTCTAGAGGTTATGGAAAGAGGTAAGCAAGATTGAGGTAAGAACCTCTAAACTTTCTGAAAGTTTAGAAGTAAGGGGTCACAAAGGGGTCAAAGGGGTCAAAGGTTGGAAGTAGAAGTGAGGAAGCTTGTAGCTGAGGATGGGGTCTACACCTGTTAGAGGTCAGTGATTGTAGAGGTCAGTGATTGTAGAGGTCACAGGGTAAAGGTGACAAACTTTGAGATGCTCAGGATTAGTATTAAATACTCTGATGATGAATTACATACATTTTATGCACATTTTATTATACAAGCTGATATTTCTGTACCTATTCGTGCAGGCTTAAGTTTATGGAGGTGACCAGTACTTGGAGGGATTTGTAATATTTGAAATATGTAATTGATGGCAGGGAAGTTGTAATTGGAAGAAACATGTAACTGGACGGATTTGTAATTGATGGAATTGGTAATTGGCAGGAAGTTGTAATTGGACGTATGCGCTGATGTTTGTAATGGGAATGTTTGCCTTACTTTTACAATTTGTGTGTTGTACAGGTTTTTATCAATGCGCCAGTCTATCATGTGATCATGCCTGCCATGCCACACCAAAAGGGGGCGCTTGTTTCTGCCAAACAGGGTACCGCCTGGACCCGACCGACAATCGCACATGTATAGGTAAGGTCACTGTGATTGGAACACCATCAGTAACACACACATGTATAGGTAAGGTCACTGTGATTGGAACACCATCAGTAACACACA